CTATAAAAACGCATCAGTCTTTTTATTTTACTACTTGCAACATTTGAGTTGGAGCACATATGCCTCTTAAGTCAAGATGCAACTCCAACTCAAGTTAGTTCCTAAAGTAGAGCTAAACATGAGCTCTGATTAACATATGCCTAAAAATAACATAATAAAACTTCACTGCCTCACTAATAGCTATACTATATGGCATGTGAGCCAAAGAAGTGCCCTTCATTTAAGCAAAATCGTTGAAACCTTGGCTCTTATTTTGTTCCTTTTTTTTTCCTTTTGGTTTGTAAAATTCTGTTTTTCACATTTAAATAAAATTGTATTACAAGGATTAGAGGTGGAACAATAAATTAAATTCCAAGGATCCAAAGAAAGTAAAATTCAACATTTTCATATGGACATCAATCATCTGTTCAAGAGGGTCAACTGCAGTATTTGTGATACTATGAATGCAACTAAAAACAGATACACACACTCACAGACTACATATTAGGAAGATCTTATAAATGAGTCCCAATAGTCTATTTGAGAAATGCTCAAAAATTAGTATTCTTTTGAGACAAAGTATTAGAAATTTGCAAATCTGGAGACAGAGTAAATGTGAGCCTGCCGGTAGAGTGAGGTCCTAAAGGAGAGCGATGTAGAACTTGCCACCAAAGTATAGCCCTTAGCCCGGTCCCAGACCTAACATATTTACAGAAAGGAGACCCACATTTATGCTGAGAAAGATCATGCCTGGACCACATAAAAAATAAATATTAATGATATTTAAAAGATAATTCAAGACATGGTTTCTTGTTCTTAATTTACCACTCTGTTGCCTAGTCAACTCCCCGTACCCCCGAGGTATTTGGGCATTCTTTTACTCTGAATAATCTAAATTTTTTTAAAACTCCAATGCAACTCAGACACATCACAATCAATCATAGTTTCTATATTCTCCATTCAAATGTACACTCACAAAAACACATTTAATAATGCCATTCACTCCTTTAAGAGGCATTGTTTGTAATTAGAAATCATCTAAACCATAACATTATCAGTACTGATATAATGAGTCAGAATCGACTCGACGGCAGTGGGTTATTTTATAACGTACAGTTGATTAATATCAATGATTTGATGAATTCAGAAAATATGTTCCACTGACACAAATAACTAAAATTCAGATATTTAAAAAAAAAAATTTGTGATTATTTCAATAGAAGGTAGCTGTACTGAATATATATAAATACTTATTTGTATGTTATTTATTTATTTAAAGATGAATCCTAAAATTTCAAAACTTTTGTAGCAACCTTGAGAATACAGCTTGTTGTCGTGTGCTGTCAAGTCTATTTCGACTCGCAGCGACCCATAGGACACAGTAGAACTGCCCAATAGGGTTTTCGAGGCTGTGATCTTTATGGGAGCAGACCACCAAGTCTTTTCTGTCTGTAGCCATTGAGTGGGTTCGAACTGCTGACCTTTCGGCTAGCAGCAAAGCTCTTAACCATTGTCACCACCAGAGCTCCTTAGAATACAACCTGCTGGGACCCAAAACAATAAAACAAGGCAGGTCATAGAAGTTGAAAGATATTTCGTGATTTTGTTTGATTTCTACAGAGACTGTGATGGTTGAAAAACACTAAAAGTAGTGACATCAAGCAAACAAATGCATACATGTATTTCCTTCCCAGAAATATCTGGAACACTAGAAAAATAAAAAGCACCAAAGGCATTGGTAGATGTGGATCGATCCACTGCAAATGTTGCATTTAAACCAGAAACGTTTAATATTTATCTACTCTAATTATATGACCAGCAAATATGTTATTAATACTAGATAAGGACTCTCACTAACGTGACAACTGCTTAAAAAACTTAACTAAGAAAAAAAAAATCAGTTTTATATTTCAATCCAATCTAATTTTCCAACCCCTAACTCCCCATGTTCTTGAAGTATTTTTTGTAAATGACCTTCTTTTGTAAATGATCTTTGCTTCTCAGTGTGGCTAGTTAGAAGGAGAAGGTGAAGGTGCCATTTACTCCATATTTATGTGATTAGAATACTGGCTTAGGAAGAAATTAAAAAAAAAAAGTTTAGGTGAACAAGGAAGTAGATTTATCCAAAGTCATAAATTTGCCTGTTATAAATACTGAAATAAATTACAGAATAAAAGGAAATATTCTATACTTGAGCCTCAGATGTTGGATTTGAAATTACAGAAGGTGGTTGCTTCTAACAGTGAGTGAAAAAAGACTTATTTTTCAATGCTTATTCAAGAAGATTGAAATTTGGTGAAAGCTATATTGGGAGAATTAAGAATTATGCCTGTTTTAGTGAAAAATGGCATAGAATGTAACAGGCTCCATCATGCTATTTCTTCAAACTGGTGAAGGTTAGCATCACCACATAGTCATTGATTTCCTTACTTGTGCATGCCATTGTGGGTGGATCAGACTCCCTCCTGAAATAATCCTTTTCACAGACACAAGAGGTTGAAGCTTCCTCATGGGTATAACTGTGAGGTGGACATTTGCTGCAGCTCTGGCTGTGAGGTGAGGCTTTGAAGAACCCAGGTCTGCACACTGTTAAGAGAAATAAGAGACTAAGCTTTTCCCTGGAAGAGATGCTGTGTTTGTTTTGTGAGTAATATTATTATTTTGACTAGCATACACAGATTACATATAACACATATACTTGCATCAATTTCAAAAAGTTTTCATAAGCTGCTGGCTCATAAATTCCAGGCTATATTCAAACAACCAAATGTTTATTTTAAGGTTTTATGGAATGTATATATCTTAATGATTTTTCTACTACAGGAGCTTATAAAAATTATATGTATATGATGGAAATACTTATATGTATTTCAACTGAAGCAGTGCTTTGAGTACAATTTTAATTTACTCTATTATTACTAAATTGAAGAAGTGCAAATCATCACATATACTCCTAAAATGGTGTGATACACAATAGATGCTAAATAACGTTTTCATGATCTAATTGTTTTTCACTTTATATTTTTTATTGAAAAAATGTTTTTTCATTAATGGAATACATGATGAATGATTGAATGTGTCTGAATTGAGTGTGTCCCTCTGGACTCTGGGAATAAGATTGGTGGGATGCATATGTCCCTCTGGACTTTGGGGAGAGGATGGGTGGGATGCATATGTCTCTCTGGACTCTAGGACACTTAGGTCCCTGTGGACTGTGATGCAGGTTTGATGCGACACATATGCCGTTACAGGATGAACCACCTCATACAATACCCTGTAAAAACAGTAATTTGTAGCAGACTACCATTTCTTCCAATTCAAACAGTGATACAGGTTTTTGCTTTACAGTAGTATGCATTAAAAGTGGGAAAGTAGTTTCCCAATAATCTCAGACAGAAAATTAAGTGGGACATATATGTCTGCATTTACATCCCACTGGTCACAAAATGATGTAATTTGTTACTGAATTTAGAAATGAATTAGTATGTGCTAAAAGCTTCATATATTCTGTTAAATCGGGGAGAATGCATAAATGAGTTGGTACATCATCCACATTATATTGATTTCCAGACAAATAAGCATGTATTTTAGGCAAGATCATAGGCATGTATTTTACATTTTACTCATTTTATAAGTATTTTGAGATTATTACTAAATCAACATTAGTCTATGTTAATATCAGTAATACTTATACTATGCAAACTATAATGGTTGATAAAGGGTAGAAATTGTATCTTATTAAATTTTACCTCCACAATTCCTTTCACAGACTCTGAACACACTAGGTGTTCAAAAGTGACATGCAATGCATGAATGGCATGGCATAAAGATTGTAACTGAACTATTTAGAATCACATAAATGTGCCCTGATACTTTTGTTAATATTTCTAAGATGATAAATAG